GAGTTGAGTCATGAACTTCAGAGAAAAAATTCAAAGGTAGAAATTTTAGAAATGAACTTGAAAATGTCCCATCTGGTCAACCCTTCATTAATACCATGAATAGAAGGAAAAAGACTTGGAGCTACACACAAACCATGTACCAACAAAATTCATTTATAGCTGCCTATTGATTGAAGTTTTAAAATGCAGGAGGCAAAGAAGACAGGTATGAGGTGGGAGAGGACTGGTAGATCAGGATCAAGGAATAGACGTAGCTAGAGTTTCTCTCCAGGTCCCACCAAGCCCCTGCAGTCCCACAGCCCACTTATAAAATAAACACATAGACGCTTATATTATTTATAAACTGTATGGCTGTAGCAGGCTTCTTACTAACTATTATTATATCTTAAATCAACCCATTTCTATTCATCTATAAGTTGCCATGTGGCTCATGGCTTACTGGTATCTTAACATCTTCTCATGGCGACTGCTGGCAGCATCTCTCTGCCTCAGTCTTCCACTTTCCAAAATTCTCTTCTCTGTCCTGCCTATACTTCCTGCCTGGCCACTGGCCAATCAGCATTTTATTTTACAGAGCAATATCCATAGAAAACAGAAAAACAAATGAAAGGAAAACATTAAGAATAAAGAGTTGAGCCAGGCAGTGGTGGCGCATGCCTTTAGTTCCAGCACTCAGGAGGCAGAGTCAGGCAGATCTCTGTGAGTTCAAGGCCAGCCTGGTCAACAGAGCAAGATCCAGGACAGGCATCAAAACTACACAGAGATGTAGATGTAACCAACCGTCTTATTAAATTAAGAAACACAGAACCAATGTAAAAGAGAAAGTAGAGAGGTCAGAGCTCAGAGCTAAAATCTTACCTCCTGCAGTGCTCCTACCTCCCCGAAAGAGAGCTACTTCCTGTGTGTCTGTCTTTAAATAGTCTTTCTGTTCTGCCTTCTCATTGGTTGTAAACCCAAACACATGACTGCCTCGTCACTGCCTGTACCACCCTCCAGGTCTTAAAGGTGTATGTCTCCAAAGCTGGCTGTATCCCTGAACACACAGAGATCTATGTGATTAAAGGTGTGTGCCACCACCACCATGCTCTTGCTATGGTTTTAATAGCTCTGACCCCCAGGCAACTTTATTTATTAACATACAATTAAAATCACATTTCAGTACAAATAAAATATCACCATACAGAGAAACTCTGTCTTGGAAAAAAAAAAGAATAAGGAGTTGAAGGATTCAAACTTAGACTCAAGGGAGCTAGACTATTTTAATTAAAATGATATTCCAATCTTAAGTTGGAAAAACAGTGAGGGGCAAGAAAAAAATTGAGGAAGGTGCAATGTACTTTAGCAGTAGCTTCGATTAAACAAAGACAAATACATCTTGGCTGGGTTGTGCTTGATTTTGAGTTAATCCGGGGGCACTGCACACTCAGAAACCTTTTCTTGTTACTAAATTTTTCAAGCACCCACATTCCATTACATGGCTCAGAGTTCAACAACCTGGCTCTCGAAGGTAACCTCAAGGCCTCCTCAAAATCCCACAGTATTCCCGACTCATCCACTGCCTCAGGGGTTTAGCTGGGAGGCAGCCCAGAGATATTCCTCTGGCTGCTAGGACATGCTTGTCCATGCACAGATAATGAAGTGCTGAGAAATTAAAACCTCAACCACACGCAGCAGCCCTCCCCCCAGACTGAGAGCCCATGGGTGAACAGCTCAGTTTCCTTATGCATCAGATAGACCAAGAGGTATGTCAAAGGTAGACCTCCTGAGGTCCCCATCAGGACTTGGTCCCAGATGCCTGTGACCTGCTAGATGACACTCTCTGAGCTGACTTCCCTTCCTGTAATGCTTAGTCTTAAATGGCAACTTGATGGGATGTAGAAGCAAGCTAGGAGACTGGCTTGGGCATGTCGTTTTCAAAGATTAACTGGCGGGAAAGATGTGCCCTCAAGGTACCCAGCATCTTCCAACTGATGGAGAAAGGAGTAATGTGAACTGGGTGCCTGCCTGCTCTTCCGTCTGAGCACGTGAGTCTGAAGCCACTGCTCCCTCTTGCACGACTACTGTCAGACTCCTGCTTCTTCAGACTCCAAGCCTGAGCTGAACACCAACCAGCAGCTCTCCAGGCTGCTCCAGCGCCTATTTGGGACAGCAGAGCATTCACCTCCAGGGCAGAGGCCTTCACCTCCAGGGCTAAGCAGTTACTGGGTTCTCTTCCTTTTCAGCATTCAGGTAGCCAGTGCATAACTAGCCAGTCAATAAACCATATATCTCTAATTCAAACACATATAAAATACACACACACACACACACACACACACACACACACACACTATTGGTTCATTTCCTCTGGAGACCCTGTCCAATATGCATCCCCAGTTCACTCTCCCATATCCTTACTGGACTTCTTGAGAACACCTCCCATATTTAGACTCACACATAAAACCTTCTCCAAGATTTTGTCTCTGAGGAATACTTGTGTTCCAGGGAAGGGGGAGATGAAGTGTCACATGTGTGGAACTTTATTACAGCAAATGGTCGGGAAAGGATTCACTGACGCATTGGGAGACATGACTTTGAATGAAGAGGTTACTTCTGATTTTAAGCAGTCACTGTTAGGCTTTCAACACCAGAAACATGGTAGACCACCAGTCCAGACTGTAAGGGGGAGGGAGTGGGGGAGGGGAGGAGGGCATGTCCTGTTTCTAGTGTTGGAAAACAAAATGTTCGTCCCTAATCATCTGGTGTGGTCTGGACTTTCAATGCCGAAGCAAAGCACTGATTTTCCATCACAGCCTTTCCATATGAATGTTGGTGACACCCGTGGGACTTGGTGCCTTCCTATTCTCACCATGAGGTGCTATGTCAACTGCCTCAGTTCAAGGCCACAAAACTGACTTGATACTGAGACACTGTCTCCCAGAGGGATTATCAATAAAATTTCATAAACCTGGCGGGGATTCATGTCACATTCACTTAGAGCCGCTACAGAATAAAATGTCACTCCTTCTAAAGCAGAATAGGGACTCTCACGGGGACAAAAACACATCCAGACCCTTAACTCATGCTCTGTAAAAGTAACAATGTTCTCCGTCAACAAGTGCAGAGCATGTCCTTCCTTGTCTTTGCCGCCTCTCCTACTCTCATTGGAGGGGAAAATCCACCAGAGGCAGGGGAATGTCAGGATGACCCGGAAGACCAACCAGCCACTAAACTGTGTCCTCTAGGAGGGAGAGAAAGCAAACAAAAACCTTCTTGAAACATGATATGAGGCTTTTTAAACTGCTGACCTCCTTGAAGAGCTACTGGCAGTTGGCTGCTGGGAAAGGGAGAGGCAGGATTTTTTTAGGGCTGTGGCCCCTGGTAACTGTCCATGCTCTCGTCTAACACTAATTAGACTCAGTGTGAGTGCGTGCGTGCGTGCGTGTGCGTGCGTGCATGTGCGTGTGCGTGACATGGAGTTGGAGGCAAATGCAGTATCAGAGAGCCTCTTGGAGCAGTTAAAGGGGGTAGGGGGCTGTATGCACATATGAAATTGTCAAAGAATAAATTTCAAAAATTTTTAAATGCCATCTTGATGACAAGAAAATTAACTGACCTTAGACCTCCAGAATATGCAAAAAGTATATTCCTTCTTCTACTTGAGGACAATCTAATCTCTCTTTACCTCTCCCATTCCTCCCTCCCTCCCTCTCTCCTTCTCTCCCTCCCTCCCTCCTTCCCCCTCCTATTTCCCTACTTCTGAAAAAAAAAAACCTGCACTCAAGCTCGCGCCTGAACATCACTGTTGTCCTTTCTGTGGCCACCCAGACAGACGTCCTCTGGTGTCCTGCAACCTTCTGTCCAGCTGAAGCTCATGAAGGACTTGATCACGAATCTATATAAGCATATTTGTTCCAGAAAAGACATGCCCTATATATGAGGTCAGAGAGAGAATGGCGACAAACTCTCAGCACCGCTGACTTCTTGCTGTTTGAGTGATTCAGTCTCTTCCTCAGACAGGGTACATTGTCTCACTACACCTCACTAGACGTATCCCCTTCTGCAGAAACATTTTCTATTAAGGGGTGCTTGCTCCAGACAAGATAACCTATTCCATTTTCAAACGCTTGTCAAATTATTGTTTATATTGACTCAACCTCTTTATTCCTTGTGGAACTAAAATTACACTCCTGTTCCACAGGGAAGCCTTCCTTCTTCTGACACACTGTGGATGTCACTGTCCTTGTTAAAGGATGGTATTCCCAACTAAGAACTACATTTGGTCTGATAAATAACTAAATCATCAGGATTCTAAACCAACAGTTTTCTGGTTCTCTCCTCCCACCCCCGAACCCCCACCCCAGGCTTAGTTTTCTCTCATTTCCTTGTTTGTCTGTCACCTGACCACACTGCCCAGGGTTCTGCCATCACCGGCTGATACCCTCAGGGGTGTGTGCTTTCCTAGAAGGAGCTCATACTCAAGAGTGTGTTCTACACTGTGTACACACCAACAACTCCCTTAACTACCCCTCCCTCTTTGCCTCCTAGACTTGCCTAAGTCAAACACTGAAAAACTCTCTGAGTAAATATCCCTTGGGCTCATCAAATTCAACATGTCCAAAATAAATGTCAACATTTCACCCCATATATTCTGCCTTCTGTCTAGGCCCCACTCGGGAAAGCAACTCCCTTTCTTCCCTACCTGGAAATCACTAGAATACACTTCAAGGCTCTCCACTTCTACTACAGCCCTAGCCCTAAGGTTCAACAGCTCTTGTCTAGGACGTAAATCCTACCATTCTTTGATTGATTTCTCTGCTATTTGTCCTCCAGCCTATTCTGAAAAGATCCCGATTCATTCCTCTGACAGCAGTGATGGTCCTAGGGTGCAGAGTGGAGAGCCCAGTCCTCTGCTCAAGGTCTTCAGTGGCAGAATTGTGCAGAGGGAATTGACGTTGAGGGAGCAGATGGTGGTCACTTCAAGAATTGTCCTAAAAACTAAATATGAAGCCTGGGGGCACACCCTTACATTCCAGGCATAAAGAAGCTAAGGGTGAGGGACAGGGATTTTCAGGCAGACCTCATCTGAAGTAAATAAATGAATAAATGAATGAATGAATGAATGAATGAATGAATGAATGAATGAATAAAAATTATTTTAAACATGATGTTTAAACATGAGAATCTTTTTTTTTCTCCAGTGGCCTGATCAATAATTAAATCTCTAGGATTCTAACCCAATAGTTCTTAGATTCTGTCCCTTTTTTCCTTGGTTTTCTCTCGGGTTTCCTTTGTCCCCCTGTCGGCTGACAGTGCTTGCTGGGGCTCTGATGTCACCCCTAACACACCCGGTGTGCGTGCCTTCCTAGAACAAGTTCACCAAAATGCAAGCACAGCCCCTGGACCTCACCGTGTGTCAATGTGTGTAACAGAAAGATGAGAGAGTCCGGTACTGGCCTGGTTGATTTTTCTAGAAAAAAAAAATCCAAAATCTACTCTATAGAAAGAAACCAAAGCCGGAAGGAAGGATAACAGAGTCTAGAGACTAAAGCCGAGAAAAGCGGTGTTTGAAGTTCTGAAGAAGTTCAGGAGGACAGGTGCAAGCAGAGACAGATGCTGACTGCAGGCTGGAAGATAGACGGGCAACAGGGCTGCCACAGCTGTTGCAGCGGAATAAATGCCATCTTTATTGACACCGTCCAAGAGACTACAGTACAAATGTTAAATGTGTTTCAAATATTTTATATGTCAGACTGATAGAAAATCAAGGAGGGGAAGATGCTAAGTTTAGAACAAAGAAGTCTAAGACCACCAGGGAAATATGATTGTGTGTGTTTGTGTGTGTGTGTGTGTGTGTGTGTGTATGTGTGTGTGTGTGTGTACATGCCTACAAACCCACTTAGTATTTAGAATGCTTTTTAAAATACCATTTCTTTAAGTTGTCATAGCTAAAGTATGACTTCCAAGTGTCCTGTTCCAAAGGGGAAAAAATCACTGTTTACATCTTGACAATACAATTTAAAGAAAACACTCTGAGTTCCAGCTTACATTGTCCATGTGATGTAAGTTGTGCCTCGGTTCCCTTTACTATAAACGTTCTTCTGTTATACACTGGAACCTGTGTTAGCTATCTTACCCTCAGCGTGCATCTCAGCCTCTCTCACCGGCCCTACCTGGAAATCACTCAGGATGCAAGCTTTACTACCATGCCTGACCGAGGCATTCCGAGTTTCCTCTGTCACAACAGCTTCCACCTTCATCTGACAAAGGCCCAGCAGGCCTCCCCATAACAAGGACTATTGGGGTCCAGCCCCTTGATCGCCCTCTCCCAGGGTTCAGGAAGAATCTACAACCGGCTGATAATCTAATCTTTGATGATATTAAATGAATCTATGTACATGAAATTCTTCAGTTCACTTGCTTTATTTTTCTGAGTCAGATCTCTCTCTACACGGCTTCAGTTCTGTTCTCACGTTCTGCTCCTCTCTGCCCTTCTCCTCCTGTCCTCTCATAACTCTAAGTTTCTTTCCGTCTCTGTCCTCAGCTTCATCTTCATTCTTCTCTATCTTGGTTCCTTCCCCTTCCTCTCCCAGAATTGGTCTCAGCCCTACCAGAAACCTGAGCCTTACCATATCATGCCAGGCTCCCAAGGTCCCCACAAGAGCAGTGATAGCCAGCTTCATTTGCAACCCAAAAGGGGAGTGAATAGAGGAGGTGGGGTCAGATAAGGCCTGGAATAAGTCAGAAAGGGAATTTATGTGCTCAAAATATATTCTTATAAGTGGTTAGGTGAAATGTTGTGAGTTTATCATAAATGTGCTCAAACTACAGTCTTACAGGTGGTTAGGTAAAAGAGTCTATAAGTCACTAAAACAAAACTGCCTCTCTTTTCCTGTGCCACCAAATTCTGGCAGGGCGGGGTAACTCTGCTCAGAGCTAGGAAACCTGCCTCAAAGCTACATTGCACCTGGTATGCAAAAAACCCTTTTGTTCTGAGTCAATTGCTCTGGAATACCATTTGGGCTGTGAGAGAAAGGAGGCTCTGAGCTTCATTTGCACAAGAAACAAAGCTATGCACCTAAGTTCACCTGTCTCCTAAGCCTAGGAGACAGGTAGTGTCTCCATAAGGGTGTTTACCTTAATTCAAGAGACTCAGTGGTTGGTTTGAAATGCTTTGTCCTGTCTACCTTTTGACTTTGAATGCTAGAGAACTATATCAGATAAAACACACTGTTAGAAGTTCTTGGGGAAGGTATGAGAGCACACAAGAAATTCATAGCAGGAAACAGCTGATATATTAAAAGCCAAATAACACCAAATACTCTTTGAGATTTGGGTTCCTCTGGAAGAATGCCTTGATTTTTCCAGGTATAGCTTTACCATATTCAGCTGAATTCTTACTACATTCCTGAGGCTCATAGCATCCCCAAATGGAGAGACAGACTTCTCAGTAAACATTGTCTTGGGTATGAGAGAAACACTTCTGCATTTGCATTCTACACCATCAGAGAGACCAGGACAGATTCTTTCTGGACCCAGGGGCAAAAGTCTGATCAAACTGCTCCCAGAGGACCCATTCAATCAGGGGCAGCCTTCAGAGGAGTGCTTACAGCTTATAAATCGTGGCCTGAGGAACACAACCACAGTTTGAAAGCAGTTCTAACGCTGAAGGGGCATCTCTGTAGCTCTCTATAAGGTCAAATAGACCAAGGGACCTAAACCAGACTCTGTGGAGAGTCCACACAGTTAGGAGCCACTTGGGCTGGAAGGGGACCTCATTTCTCTGTCAGGAAGGACAAACTTTTGCTACAAGAAGCAGCCTGCCTTATTTAGCAGAACAACTTAGAAAATTTATTAGCTCACCTCTCGAAAAGCAGTGATGGAGTTCAGGCTCATCTCTCTTCATCTCTGTCCATGTGTCTACTCTATGCAAGCAGGGGCAGTTTCAGATCTAACGTCATAAACCTATCATGGAGAGCAGGCATCTATCCTGTGGATCTCTTAGAGTCAAAGCAATGATTCTGCCCCAAGTTCCCAGCAAGCATCTGTGAAAATGACCCATAACTGTCCTTCCAGCAACTGGTCTAAAGGGGACTGGGTCACCGCTGTGTTTCTCAGAAGCACAGTGAAAGAGGGGTCGGGGGAGAGGGGGCTTATCTTTCCCTGGAGCTCAAAGGCTGTGTCACAAATGTTGAATCCTACATCTTGAAAGGTGATGCTTCCAGGGAAGGAGCGGATAGGATTTGAGGGAAAATGGCAGTGTCTGAATTTCCCACAGCAGCTCTGTGCTCTCTGGCCTTATCTTTGGTCCATCCATATTTTGAAGGCCAGAAAAAAAGGCAGTAATCACAGCAACAAGGGCAGCCTTGAAATTGGGAGTGAGCACTAGGCTGTGGACCTGGCCTATGTAGTTTAAATAGAATTGGAAAGCCTTGGACCCATTTCATCTTCTCCAGGAATATGCTCAACTGTCAATTCTGTACTCTGACAGAGTCTTTAAAAGCTCTGTTCGATGCTTTGGAGTTGAGGATTCTGATACCAGTAATGAATTCATATCTCTACAATGCCTATCTTTACACTTCATTGTCATTAAATGGAAAATTCAGCTATTCAATATGATGATCGTTTCTAGTCTTTGATAAGATTTTTCCATTTTCTTTTCTTTTTTAATGCTTCTAAATTGTAATAAAGCTTTAAAGACTAAGGTACCCACAGCTTCATTCATCTGTCTCTCAAGTATAATGAATGTATACAGGCAAAGAAGAAAAGGGATATAGGATTTGGTGTAATCCTATAACCTCGCTCATTTCCTTGTGGAAGGTTGAATAATTCCAGAGGAACATCACATAATAGCGATGAGTTATTGTCTCATCGGCGCTAAAGAAATACTCGACACAATGCGCATGCATAAACTACAAAATGAAAACAGCTCACATACAAAGCATCATTAGGAACCAGTGCAATCAGAAGCTGTGTGTACATCTAGATGCATGCACACACATCACAGAATCCTGGAGACACTTCTCAACTTCTCAGGAAACAGAACACTAATATTACAAAGTGAAAAGACTGAAAACATGCTACATTTTTTTGTCACACAGAACAAAATATCATATATCTCTCTCTCTCTCTCTCTCTCTCTCTCTCTCTCTCTCTCTCTCTCTCTCTCTCT